TATATATCGTTTAGATGACAACTATCTTGCTCGGCAAAAACTATGATCTAAGGAAGATTATGATAATATTTGCAACATCTCAGTGATTAATTACCCAAAAAAATTATCGATTACAACCATCTTGAAAAGATTAATATGATAATTTAAAGCATTCTATTTTTAATATAGTTCGAGTACTATCCGTGCTTCAATTTCGGTGAGTTGTTCTAATACAAAGATGACAACAAAATCCATAATCTTGAGAAGATTTTGGTTTACAGACTTCATAATTAACTAGGGACTTTTTGATATAGGATCATGCTACGAGAAGTGGTTGTATCTATCTCTTTTGTAGACTTTAAAATCATCACATGATGCTTAATCGTAGTTTATAATGTGGACTTCTTAACTAGGGTTTTATTTTGTATATTGGATCCTGCAAGGAGAAGTTGTTCTTTCATCTCTTTTGTAGAGTTAAAAATAAAGACAAAATTAAAATCACCACACATGTTTAGCACATGAGGATTGGTGAATTTGTCTTATGGATTTTGTAACTAGAGATTTTTTATATTATATCATCCTATGAGAACTGGTTGTATATTTCATCACTTTTATATAGTTGAAAATAAAGAGAAAAATAAAAACAATTTCACGAGTTGTACCTCTCATTATCTCTTCGTTAAAGAAAACCACTGCACAGCTCGTCAGCGACAATGGACAGCGACAATGGAGCGTTGTTGTGTGCCAGTACAGCAGCTCTGTGAGTAAGTACGACAGCATGCGACACTCACAGGACAATTAGATTGCTCCGTTATGTAGTTATCTGAGCGATGTTGTGCGAAACTCCAGCTGCACGCGGTTGCATGTAAAGTGTTCAATGATCAAAAAGGGTTTGGATTCATCACTCCTAATGATGGTAGTGTGGAGCTGTTCGTTCGTCAGTCTGCTAAAACTGAAGGTTTTCGAAGCCTAGGCGACAGTGGAAATGTGGAGTTCGAAGTTGAGTATGGAAGCAATGGCCGCGCTAAGGCTGCCAATGTGATTGGACTTTGTCGGGCTTTTGTAGGTGGGTGGTATTCTGTGGGTGGTGATGACGATGTTTGTGCAGATGGATATGGTGGTTGTGGTTGTGCTAGCGATGGTGGTGGTGCTAGCGATGGTAGTGGTTTGGATTAATTTTACTTAATTATCTATTTCATTTTTTTAAAGACATGACTCAATCGCTTGAATTGGAAAGAGTGAACTATTACATATGACGTGTGACTAATAAAATATTGATCCAATGATTTATGACCAATTCTCTTGAATCTGTGACCTGTAGACATTGGTCTAATGGTTTGTTACCGGATCTATTGGATCTATGACTTGTAGACATTGAGTTGTTACCTATGCAATATGACTTGTGACCTTGGACCGTTGAACTTGAATATATGACTTGTTACAGTGCACAATGACAACTGATATCTAATCTGTGAACATAAATCATTGATCGATGACCCGTGGACTTTGATTTGTGATCTATGAAATGTTATCCGTGATATTGATCCAACGGCCTGTGACCTGTTCTCTTGGATCTGTGATCTATAGACATTGACTTGTTACCTATGTAATATGACATGTGATCTATGAACTTGAATATGTGACTTGTTATCAGTGCACAAAGACATATGACGTCTGATCTGTGACTTGTTAACATTGACCCGTGACTCATGACTTATGAACTATAACATGTGGACAAAAATCAGTAACATGTGACATATGATCATAGATCAGTGACATGCGACCATTCTATTTGATCTATGATATGTAAACATTGATTTGTAATCTATGCACAATGACCTATGACTTGTGGACAAATTGTGAATAACGATTACAAATATAGTCATAATTTCGTATTGTTGTTAATGTCTCACATCATTTATTAATCACAAACCTTTTTTATACAACGCGAACCCAACCCAAACCTACCAATAGAACTACCATCACCACTTGCACCACCAATACCGCCACCATCTCACCATCACCACATGCGCCGTGATATTTCTTAATTAAATTATTGGAATTGGTGTGATGTGGATTGATGTAGATA